AATGAATGTGGCAAGGGTTTTAATCCAAAATCACACCTTGTACGTTATTGTAGACTTCATACTGGAGAAAAAGCTTACAAATGTGAAGAATGTGACAATGTTTTCAGTCGCAGTTCAAACCTTGAAAGACATTGGAGAATTCATACTGCACAGAAACCCCGTACAAATGTGAGGTTTGTGACAAGGCTTTTGGGTATGATTTACACCTGGCACAACATCGCGAAATTGGCACTTCGACCATTTTTAAGTTTTTTGTATTTTTATTTTGTTGACATGGAGCCTTGCTGTGTTGCCCAGGGTGGAATGCAGTGGCGTGCTCTCAGCTCAATGCAACCTTCGCCTCTGCTTCAAGCGACTCTCCTGCCTCAGGCTCCTGAGTCGCTGGGATTACAGGTGCCCGCCACCATACCAGGCTAAAGGTTTTGTATTTTTACTGGAAACAGGGTGTCACCATGTTGGCCAGGCTGACCTTGAACTCCTGACCTCCGAAAGTGGTAGGATTACAGACTTGAGTCACTGGCCCTGCCTCCCTCTACTTTTTTATTGATCAGCTTTTTTTTTTTTTTTTTTCCCTGAGGAGGGCAGTTTTAGGTGGAGTTTTACTCTTGTTACTAAGGCTGGAGTACAACGGTGCAATCTCAGCTCATGACCACCTCCTTCCGGGTTCAAGCAGTTCTCTTGCCTTAGCCTTGCATGAGGCTGGGATTACACACATGCTCCACCATGCCCGGCTAATTTTCTGTATTTTTAGTAGACAGGGGGTTTCTCCCATTTTGGCCAGGCAGATCTCAAATTCCCCACCTCAGGTGATCCACCTGCCATGGCCTCCCAAATTGCTGGGATTACAGGCATGAGCCACTGCGCCCAGCCCAGCTGTCCTGTGGTTTTATCCATTATTGAGAGAGAGAGAGGGAGACAAACAGGGTTTGACCATCTTGGCCAGGCTGGCCTTGAACTCCTGATGTAATGATTCACCTGCCTTGGCCTCCCAAAGTGCTGTAATTACAGGTGTGAACCATAGTGCCCGATGATGGGCTAATATATTTTTTTAGAGGCAGTGTCTGGCTGTGTTGTTAAAGTTGGTCTTGATCTCCTGGGCTCAAGAGATCCTCCTCAGCCTCCTGAGTTGCTGGGATTATAAGCCCGTATACCTAATTATTCGTTGCTATTTTTTTTCTTTTTTTTTTTTTGAGACGGAGTTTTGCCCTTGTTACCCAGGCTGGAGTGCAATGGCGCGATCTCGGCTCACCGCAACCTCCGCCTCCTGGGCTCAGGCAATTCTCCTGCCTCAGCCTCCTGAGTAGCTGAGATTACAGGCACGTGCCACCACGCCCAGCTAATTTTTTGCACTTTTAGTAGAGACGGGGTTTCACCATGTTGACCAGGATGATCTCGATCTCTCGACCTCGTGATCCACCCACCTCGGCCTCCCAAAGTGCTGGGATTACAGGCTTGAGCCCCAGCGCGCGGCTCGTTGCTATTTTTTTTTTTTTTTTTTTTTTTTTTTTTTTTTTTTTTTTGAGACGGAGTTTCGCTCTTGTTACCCAGGCTGGAGTGCAATGGCACGATCTCGGCTCACCGCAACCTCCGCCTCCTGGGTTCAGGCAATTCTCCTGCCTCAGCCTCCTGAGTAGCTGGGATTACAGGCATGTGCCACCATACCCAGCTAATTTTTTGTATTATTAGTAGAGACGGGGTTTCACCATGTTGACCAGGTTGGTCTCGATCTCTCGACCTTGTGATCCACCCGCCTCGGCCTCCCAAAGTGCTGGGATTACAGGCTTGAGCCACCGCGCCCGGCCTCGTTGCTATTTTTTAAACTGTAGCGTGTGTGTGTCCTTAGGGCTAGTAGGAGTCTTCTGTGGACAAAATGTAGTTCGTTCCTGTTGATTCAGCCAGTCTTTGCCTTCTGAGTGCTGTTGAATATTTACAGTTGATGTATGACTGATGGAGAAGACCTTACTGTTTAATTTTTGTAGGGCTTTTTTTGTTGTTGTTCTTCATTTCTCATTGACTACTTTTTGTGTTTAATTGCTGTTTCGTGTAGATACTCTTTACTTTCTTTTCATTGACTTTTTCTTTTATGACCGAGTCTCAGTCTGTCGCCCAGGCTACAGTGCAGTGGTGCAATCTTGGCTGACTGCATCGTCCGCCTCCCGGATGAAACCATTTTTTTCCCCAGCTTCCTGAATAGCTGGGACTACAGGCGCCTACCACCATGCCAAACTGATTTTTGTGTTTTTAATAGGGATGGGGTTTCACCGTGTTGTCCAGGCTGGACTGTAACTCCTGATCTCAAGTGACTTACCTTCCTCGGCTTTCCAGAGTGCTGGCGTTACACTTGCGAGCTGCCGTGCCCAGCCATTGTTAGTACTTTAAGTAGTTTTCAACATTGAGTTTTCACTAAACATCTAAGTGGTTTCACTTAGTGATTACAATGTGAATATGACAACCATGTTAGTGTGGATTCCCTTCTGTATGAAGAACTGAAGTGTGTTGAGTAGATATTTCGGGTGGAATTCATTATTGGAGGTATGTTAAACTTCTCAAAGTTTTAGCATAGTAAACTTTAAATGTGCATAACTTGGCCAGGTGTAGTGGCTCAAGCCTGTAATCCCAGCAATTTTGGAGGCCGAGGCGGGTCCATGACCTCGGGTCAGGTGTTCAAGACCAGGCAGGCCAACATGACAAAACATCATCTCTAATAAAAATAGAAAAATTAGCTGGGCGTGGTGGTGCATACCTGTAATCTCACCTACTGAGGCTGAGATCAGAGAATTGTTTCATCCCAGGAGGTGGAGGTTGCAGTGAGCCTAGATTGCAGCATTGTGCTCCAGTCTGGACTAAAGGGAGAGACTTTGTCTCAAAAAAATAAAAATATCAGAAATTGTTATTGTTGCTGTTTTTATTCTTTTGAATCCCACCTCCACCACCAAGAAATTTTTGTTAAAGTCACAAAGTGAGTGCTTTGTGTGAATATAGGTAATTTTATGACCTTATCAGAAAAATAGTGTGTTAACATTTCTTGCTTGCTTGCTTGCTTGTTTGCTTGCTTTCTCACTTTGTTGCTTAGACTGAAGGTCAGTGATGCCATCTCGGCTCACTGCATCCTCTGCCTCTTGGGTTCAAGTAATTCTTGTGCATCAGCCTCCTGAGATCTTCTTAGTGCAATGATTGTTTGACAATACAGAATTTCCACTGGTTTTTGTTATGCTGACATGAGCTTATTGTGGATTATTTACCAATGTAGTGTATTGTATGGTCCTTTAGCATTTATTCTTGTACAGTAAACATGCTATATATTTGAAGAATATATAGTTTTCTCTTCATTGATATGATGGTAATGTGTTTTTTGCAAACTGCTGTACACTTTAGAATCACAGTGGAAAACTACTCCTTACTTTAGGTTTACATATGTTTGTGCCCTGTTAGTGTTTTTCATGATATTGAAAATAGGCAGGCTGGGTGCGGTGGCTCAAGCCTGTAGTCCCAGCACTTTGGGAGGCCGAGGCGGGTGGATCACAAGGTCAAGAGATCGAGACCATCCTGGTCAACATGGTGAAACCCCGTCTCGACTAAAAATACTAAAAAAATTAGCTGGGCATGGTGGCGGGTGCCTGTAATCCCAGCTACCCATGAGGCAGAGGCAGGAGAATTGCCTGAACCCAGGAGGCGGAGGTTGCAGTGAGCCGAGATCGTGCCATTGCACTCCAGCCTGGGTAACAAGAGGGAAACTCCGTCTCAAAAAACAAAAGAGCCGGGAGCGGTGGCTCAAGCCTGTAATCCCAGCATTTTGGGAGGCTGAGGCGGGTGGATCACGAGGTCAGGAGATCGAGACCATCCTGGTTAACACGGTGAAACCCCGTCTCTACTGAAAATACAAAAAATTAGCTGGGCATGGTGGCGCGTGCCTGTAATCCCAGCTACTCGGGAGGCTGAGGCAGGAGAATTGCCTGAACCTAGGAGGCGGAGGTTGCGGTGAGCCGAGATCGCGCCATTGCACTCCAGCTTGGGTAACAAGAGTGAAACTCCATCTCAAAAAAAAAAAAAAAAAGAAAATAGCCTTCTGTAAAAATGATTTGCCGGGCGCGGTGGCTCAAGCCTGTAATCCCAGCACTTTGGGAGGCCGAGGCGGGTGGATCACGAGGTCGAGAGATTGAGACCATCCTGGTCCACATGGTGAAACCCCATCTCTACTAAAAATACAAAAAATTAGCTGGGCATGGTGGCGCATGCCTGTAATCCCAGCTACTCAGGAGGCTGAGGCAGGAGAATTGCCTGAACCCAGGAGGCAGAGGTTGCGGTGAGCCGAGATCGCGCCATTGCACTCCAGCCTGGGTAACAAGAGCGAAACTCCATCTCATTTAAAAAAAAAAAAAATGATTTGAGGTACATGTAATTGCCCTTAATTATTTCTTTATTGATTTTTTTCTTTTATTTTGAGATGGAGTCTTACTCTGTAGTACAATGGCGTGATCTCAGCTCACTGCAGCCTCCACCTCCCCGCTTCAAGTGATTCTCCTGCCTTAGCCTCCCGAGTTGCTGGGATTACAGGTGCTTGCCACCATGCCTGGCTCACTTTGTCCTTTATTAAAGAATCTTATTCCTTTTGTGTTGCTATACTTTGAAGATCTCGTTGGGAAGTTTAAGAGTTGTTCTTTGTGTCCTGTTTACACATTTCAGTTATTGTTGACCATTTGTACTGAATTGGAAACCTGTTGGCGTTTCCATCTTGTAGATGTCTCTTCCAAATGCATGATGAAGGCAACATGCACAGGACAGCGTAATGCAGAAGGGTTCCCCACAAGGACATTGCAAAGACATGAAAGTCATCACATGAGAGAAAAATCTTTCCAATGTAGTGAGACTGGCAAAGCCTTTAATTGTAGCTTACTTTTAAGGAAAAATCAGATAATCCATTTAGGAGAGGAACAGTATAAATGTGATGTATGTGGCAAGGTCTTTGTTTTTTTAACTTTTTAATTATTTTTATTTTATAGCTACTTACTTACAGAGTGGCAAGGTTTTTAATCAGAAGCGACAGCCTGTACGCCATCGTAGATTTCATACTGGGGAGAAACCTTACAAGTGTAATGAGTGTGGCAAGAACTTCAGTCAGATGGCAAATCTTGTAGGCCATTATAGACTTCATACTGGAGAGAAACCTTACAAGTGTAATGTATGTGGTAAGACCTTCAGTCACACATCATACCTTTTTTACCATCGTAGACATCATACTGGCGAGAAACCTTACAAGTGTAATGAGTGTGGCAAGACTTTCAATCAAAAGTCATCCCTTACATGCCATCATAGACTTCATACTGGAGAGAAACCTTACAAATGTAATGAGTGTGGCAAAGGTTTTAATCAAAAAGCACACCTTAAATGTCATCATAAAGTTCATACTGGAGAGAAGCCTTACAAGTGTAACGAGTGTGGCAAGAACTTTAGTCAAATGTCATCCCTTACATGCCATCGTAGACTACATACTGGAGAGAAACCTTACAAATGTCATGAGTGTGACAAGAACTTCCGTCAGTATTCAGCCCTTGTAAACCATAAGGCAATTCATACCGGAGAGAAACCTTACAAGTGTAATGAGTGTGGCAAGTCCTTTGTTCGAAATACAACCCTTGTAAATCATAAGGCAATTCATACTGGAGAGAAACCTTACAAGTGTAATGAGTGTGGCAAGTCCTTTGGTCGAAATACAGCCCTTGTAAATCATAAGGCAGTTCATAGTGGAGAGAAACCTTACAAGTGTAATGAGTGTGGCAAGGCCTTCAGTCAGACATCATCGTTTACATACCATCGTAGACTTCATACTGGAGAGAAACCTTACAAGTGTAATGAATGTGGTAAGGGTTTTAATCAAAAGGCACACCTTGAATGTCATCATAGAGTTCATACTGGAGAGAAACCTTACAAGTGTAATGAGTGTGGCAAGACCTTCTGTAAGATGGCAAGTCTTGTAGGCCATCATAGACTTCATACTGGAGAGACACCTTACACGTGTAATGAGTGTGGCAAGATCTTCAGTCACATGTCATCCCTTACATGCCATCGTAGACTTCATACTGGAGAGAAACCTTACAAGTGTAATGAATGTGGCAAACATTTTAATCAAAAATCACACCTTGCACCTCATCGTAGACTTCATACTGGAGAGAAACCTTACAAATGTGAAGAATGTAACAAAGTTTTCAGAAGCAAATCACAGCTGGAAAGACATAGGAGAATTCATACTGGAGAGAAACCATACAAATGTAAGGTTTGTGACAAGGCTTTTGGGCGTAATTCAACCCTGGCAGAACATACTAGAATCCACACAGGAGAGAAACCTTACAAGTGTAATGAGTGTGGCAAGGCCTTTAGGGGGCATTCAACACTTAGTCACCATAAATCAATCCATGGTATAGGGAAACTTTTCTAACGTAATGTCATCGAATCTTCAGTAAGGCTACAGCCGTTGGAAATCATTAGAGAATCCATAACGAGGAGAGATCTTACAAATGTAATAAAGGTGACAAATTTCTTAGACATCATTCATCTGTTGCAGTTTATTGACAAACTTACACTGGAGAGAAACCTTACAAATGTTAGGATTGTGGCAAGGTTTTCAGTCAAGCTTCATCTTAGGGAAAACAGGAGAATTCATATAGGAGAGAAACCTCACAACTGTTATGACTGTAGCAAGGCCTTTACGATCACACGTCATTAGACATCAGAGAATCCATACTGGGCAGAAATCTTACAAATTTCCTAAGTGTGGAAAGCTCTACAGTCCAAGAACGTTGCAAAATTCATTTTTGAGACAATTGTTCCAAATGCAATGAGTCTAGCAAACCATCAAGCATTAATTGACATTAGAGTCAATTGAGCATTGATAAAAGTTTGAGTTGACAACATTCAGGTCAAGCATTAATTGACATTAAAGAGTTTATGTGAAGAGGATTGGTCTTGGCATGTTTGCTCACGCCTGTAATCCCAGCACTTCGGGAGGTCAAGATGGGTAGATGACTTGAGATCAAGAGTTTGAGACCAACCTGGCCAACAGATGTAAGCCTCTTTTCCCAGTTTGTTTTTTGTTTGTTTGTTTGTTTGTTTAACAAAAATTGATAGGGATGTTTAGGGGTATTGAGTTGAATCTAAATCACATTGGGCTTTATAATCATTTAACAATATTAATTTTTCCAATATATCATTAAGGGTTGTTGTGAGCAGGAGACCCCATAGGTGCCAAGGCAGGAGTCAGAAGCCTCAGTCTGTTTCCCTATAAATAATGAAGAAGAAAATAGAGATTACCGTAACAGTTATTCATAGGTGATCTTAGTTATTCATAGGTAATCATTAAGATATATATAAATAGGTATACTCAGCATAATCTTTTACTAAATGTCTCTCAGGTCTGGAAGTGTGAAGCTAAGGTGACATTGGGAAAGAAGTGACCCTAATGCAAGACGCTTTAAGCCATCTGTCATGGCCGTGTAAGGGCTGCTGGAGGGCACGTTGGCTATGCGACAGCGCCAGTGCTGGGAAAGTGCCCGCTGCTTAGCAAAGCTATGGAAGGAGATGTCGGACATGTCTCCTTCCTCCCAGGACCTGGGAGAAAACTCCACTCCCCAGGTTCTTGCGGTGGGGCTGATGGCTGTCAGGGAGGCCCACAGACATCCAGGGGCTTAATTGTCTTTGTGATGCTATGCCTCAGTGGTCATGTTTCATGTGTACTTTGGTATTCCACTTCTGGACCTGGTTCCTCTTTATCTTAGAAGGTAAAATCAGTAAAATAACATAAATATTAACGTCTTGAAAAGTACGGAAAAGCGCTGACTCTATGCTCCTTCCCTTGTTTTGGCTTCTTGAGAGTCCTGGGCCCATACCTAGGTGACACGTGATGCACTTTGACCCTATCACCGACCACCAGTGCCTTTCCCTACCTACCCTGCCCCCAGCTTTGTAGTCAATAAAAGTCAGAGTGTGCGGACACTCGGGGCCACTGCCGGACTCTGCACTTCGGTTGGCAGTGGACCCCTGGGCCCAAACTCTCTTGCTCTCGATCTCAGTGTCTTGTGACTATTTCCAGTTTCTGGTCTCCACACCACTAGAGAGGGGCTCATGAGTCCCTGTAGGGCTGGACCCTACATGTGGCGCTGCAACGTGGGTTTCTCTCTTTTGTGAGGGTATGCATTGAGTGTGGAAGCAGAGCATCTTTCCCTGAGAAATTCCTGAGGGCTGTGATTAATAAGCTTGAGGTAAGCTTAGGTGCCTCAGAGGCATCCAGGGTAATCGTGGTACAAGCCAATATGAAATACTCGGCCTATCTTAATTTTATTAAAATTCTCCTTGAAAAAGGAAGGTCACAGTTTCTTCTAAGAAATGTATTCAGGGCCGGGCGCGGTGGCTCAAGCCTGTAATCCCAGCACTTTGGGAGGCCGAGGCGGATGGATCACAAGGTCAAGAGATCGAGACCATCCTGGTCAACATGGTGAAACTCCATCTCTACTAAAAATACTAAAAATAAGCTGGGCATGGTGGCGTGCGCCTGTAATCCCAGCTACTCACGAGGCTGAGGCAGGAGAATAGCCTGAACCCAGGAGGCGGAGGTTTTGGTGAGCCGAGATCGCGCCATTGCACTCCAGCCTGGGCAACAAGAGCGAAACTCCGTCTCAAAAAAAAAGAAATGTATTGGAGGTTATGGATCAGTTTTACCCCTGGTTTTCCTGTTGCAATCTGGTCTTTTTGGTTTTCTGTACTGTCCTCAAGTCTCTGCAGACACAGGAAGAGTCCTTGGAGGCCGACTCCTCCTTCCCCTCTTCAGAGGAGGTTGAAGAGGTTGTTGGGTCACTTTCTCCAGAGGACACAGCCAAGATTGAACACGCCATTGCTAATATGGATGTGGACCCAGAATTCACTTTGTCTCTCCACCTACTCCTAAGCCTTCTGCACTACCTTTTACTGCGTCTGATGACCTCATGCGTGAGTTACAGACTGTTGATTGGCAAAGCCCGGTTGAGCCGTCCATGCAACGGCCGTCGTGGCTAGAAGCTTCCGCTCTCTCTCAGCCCTGTTGTAGGGCTCTGAACCATCCATCTCATCAGACCAGTGATGAAGCTGTCAACTTTATCCCTGTTCAGGCTTGCTGTAAGGCCCTCAAGTCTGTCCTGTGCATCAGGCTCCTCGGGAGCATGCTCTGTAGTCCAGTTGGTCAGCCTGGTGTTCAGGCCCTTGAAAGACCTGCTCTGCAGGTAGCCAGTTCACAGCCTGGTCCACCGGCCCTTGAAAGATACGCGTGACAGGCAGCCACGGGTCAGCCTGGTTTAAAGGCTCAACCTCTCCTCTCAGCATTCCAATTTCCTTTCTGTTTGTGGCCCATCCGTGATTGTGGTTTGCTCCCAAAAACATGTCACATACATAGGTGAGGATGCTCTGCCCCTGACGACAGCTATGACTCAGGCTCATGAATGTGGGGATTCTGAGGCATCGCCGATTTCCATGGGTTCGCAGCCTCCTATACCTGCTCCTCCCGTCCCGCCCTTCCCTGGTACTAATCCACCTGCTGTTCTTGCTCTGCAAGCCAATGGCACCTAAGGGTGCACAGCCCGACACTCAGGCACCAATGCCTGTTTCTCAGCAGCCTGTGCCCACTGCTGCTGGTATTCCTCGTGTACAAGGTGTCGCCCGGTCAGACCCTCTCTGTCCACGACTGCTTCAGGTGCACATGGCAAATTGGGAAAGCTTTTCTTTTAAATTTCTTAATGAACTTAAGGAAGCAGTCAAACAATATGGACCTCATTCTCCTTTCGTCCGTTCCACTTTAAAAGCTTTGGCAGAGGATAAATGTTTGGTGCCGTATGATTGGGTATGTCTCGGCAAGGCAGTCTTAACAAAATCTCAATATATGCAGTTTAGAACTTGGTGAGTCGATGCTGCTCAGGAACATATCAATAGAAATCAGGGAGCTAAACCTCCTATTTACATCTCTGCCGATAACCTTTTAGGCATGGGGCAGTGGACTGCTATTATAAATCAAACTGCATTAAATGATGAGGTCATTGGTCTGCTTCGTAAATGCTGCCTTCATGGATGGGACAAAATGGAAGACTAATGGGCACATTGCCCTTGATTTACACCTGTTAGCCAGGGACTTACTGAACCATATCCAGATGTTATTTCCCGTCTTCACGATGCGGCAGAAAAAGCTATTCCTGATAGTCATGAACAACACCTGGTTGTGGAACTCATGGCTTGTGAACAAACCAACCCAGACTGTCAGGCAGCTGTTGACCCAATGAAGGGTAAAGTCTCGCTAGGAAGAGACATACGTTGTAAGCATGTACTTAATGCCTTGTATAGAACAAGGAAGTTTCCTTCTTTCTTGTCAACAACCTCTTAGCTATTTGCCTACTTCCCATCGTATTCTGGTCTTAGGTTTATTAATAAAGTGGTTTTTATTTCTTTCTCTATATCGTCGTGAAGATGATTTCTCATTTGGGGGAAGATGTTTTTGTTTTCAGTTATATTTTCTCAACCTTTAAATAAAGTGTAGTAGCCGGGTGCGGTGGCTCAAGCCTGTAATCCCAGCACTTTGGGAGGCCGAGGTGGGTGGATCACGAAGGTCAAGAGATCGAGACCGCCGGGCGCGGTGGCTCAAGCCTGTAATCCCAGCACTTTGGGAGGCCGAGGCGGGTGGATCACAAGGTCAAGAGATCGAGACCAACCTTGGTCAACAACGTGAAACCCCATCTCTACTAAAAATACAAAAAATTAGCTGGGCATGGTGGCGCGTGCCTGTAATCCCAGCTACTCAGGAGGCTGAGGCAGGAGAATTCCCTGAACCCAGGAGGCGGAGGTTGCGGTGAGCCGAGATCGTGCCATTGCACTCCAGCCTGGGTAACAAGAGCGAAACTCCGTCTCAAAAAAAAAAAAAAAAAAGTGAAGAGTATTTCTTGGGCCAAGCACGGACGCTCACGCCTGTAATCCCAGTGAGCCCAGATCTTGCCGCTGCACTCCAGCGCGGTCAACAGAAATATTCTATCTGAAAACAAAACAAAAAACAATAAAAGGCGAGGTGGCCCGCGCTTATAATCGTGGAACTTTGAAAGGCGGAGGCAGTCGGATCACGAGGTCAGGAGTTCGAGAACAGCCTGTACAACAGACTGAAACCCCGTCTCTACTACAGATACAAAAATTAGCTAGACGTGGTTCTGGGCACCTGCAATTCCGGCTACTCTGGAGGCTGAGGTAGACGAATCGCTTGAACCTATGAGGCAGAGGTTGCAGTGAGCCAAGATGGCGCCACTGCACTCCCCACACCCCAGGCGAAAGAGCTAGTTCCCGTCTGAAAAAAAGCCAAAAATAGTACAAGGAAAAAGGAAAGACAAAATTTAAAAAAGAAAATAATAGATATCTTCCACCAACGTGCTGGGACGGCTAACAGCATATACACATGGAAAAGTATGATATTGGATCCCTATGTCACATCATCAATTTTATTTATTTATTTTTATTTTTTTGAGACGGACTTTCGCTCTTGTTACCCAGGCTGGAGTGCAATGGCGCGATCTCGGCTCACCGCAACCTCCGCCTCCTGGGTTCAGGCAATTCTCCTGTCTCAGCCTCCTGAGTAGCTGGGATTACAGGCACGCGCCACCATGCCCAGCTAATTTTTTGTATTTTTAGTAGAGACGGGGTTTCACCATGTTGACCAGGACGGTCTCGATCTCTTGACCTCATGATCCACCCACCTCGGCCTCCCAAAGTGCTGGGATTACAGGCTTGAGCCACCGCGCCCGGCATAATACCAGGGCTTTTGACTCACGTGTCAGCCTACCCGGCCGGTCTCGCCTCCAAAACCCGAGAAACAAGTACTGGGAGTGAGGATGAGAGAGACATAAGTGTCGGCGGGCCCCGCCCTCTGCCGGTGCTGAAGGGCAAGGTCTCTCCGCCTGGCGCCCCGCCCCTTCCTGTCCCTGGCCCCGCCCACCTCCCTGCGGTCCCCGCCCAGGCC